TCAGTCTGTAACCATACAAGTGATTATTAAAAGTCGGACAACCACAAAGTGGGAGTCTGATTTGTCAGTCACGAGCATGATTACAGAGTGACAGAATTGGAAGACACAAAGTTCTGTCACCATTTAATCATAACCATTACAATTTTCCAAAAAAAAAAAAAACATCTACAACAAATATCTCCAAAAGAGATGATGTTTAAAGTTAAAAATTCCTCCATTTTGGAAATTCCCCACTTTTTCCAAGGATAAATGGTTGTTGCTATGGTTATTGTGATCAATTCTGTGATTGGTGGGTTTAGCTGGGTAGACTTGGTGAGATTGGCTGCTTCAACTGTCCAATTACCTGTGTCTGATTGTAGCCAACTGTCTGATTACACTGTCCAATTCAACTCTTCAACATTAACATCAACTTGTTGTCAATCGACTGTTGTTGAGTTAGGGGAGGGGTAGGTGGGTAGTTGGCCAGATACTGATATTGATCCAATCATTCTCATATCACCACCCAGCTGATAAAATTACCCAGACTTACCCTTGATCATTTATTATAGCTGTTATTCTCTCAAGTTCTTGATAGTTGTCCACATTTACATGAATTCCATTTTCTAAAGCAAACTCTAAAACAGTGCAATTAATCACAGAGTGAACATCAAATTAAGCCTTCTCATTCCTTCTTTGTGAGAAAAAATACATGAACATTGAAGCATGCTGAATGACAGTCAAATAAATTACACAATTCACATCTTACAAATTAAGTATTAAAATTTAGCAACCAAGGTGGACTTCAATTTTAGCAACTGCAGAGAAGAGGACTGAAAAAAAATTTAGCCTTAAACAGGATTCAAAATAATGCTTCTCAGATACTTAAGAGGTATAGGCATTTAATTCCTGTCAAATCCTGAATAATTTCATGCATTTTTCCTGCAGTTGCAAGAATATAGCAGCCCATCTGCAAGGATCATTCCTGCATTTGATTTCCATCCAAAGGTCACAATGAAATTTCATTAAAAATTATGTTCAGATTCCTTTGAGGGAACAAAAAGCCCACTAAGATTTGCCTCACCCTCAACATGAAGCTTTGTAGCTCAGTTGATAGTAGCACCCAGCTAGTATCTGGGAGCCAAGGCTTTGAATAAGAGGAACTGCAATACTTTATTAAACCCTTTAACTCCCAGAAGTGATCAACATGAAACTTCTCCCTATATCCTTACATTATCCAGCAAACAGGTAAAGAGAATATTCAAACTTAACAGGTAGAAGTTGTTATCTTGATCTAACACCAAATTCTCATAATTAATTTACATGTAAATGTGTAGCAGCTAGAGGGGAGAATTAACAATCAGATCATGGGGGTTAAAGGGTTAATTTACAGCCCACTTGCAGGGATCATTTCTGCACTTGAATTTCATCCACAGTTCATAACGAAATTTATCTCAATAAAAACTATACATATTTTTAATGCTACTACATACAATGTAAAGCCTCTTTGCAATGGTCTCATATCAATTAACAAGATTACTGGTTAGTCTTTCAGATAATATTCAATAGTAGTCATACTCAATTCTGGCTCTGTTTTCACAGGTGAGTCAAACACAATTTTCTCAGGAGGAAATCCAAGATCCATGCCGTGTAGCACTTCTGTGATTGAAGCACACTCAAGACCATGACCCTGGATAAATGATAACACAAATTGGCTTCTGGTATTCTAGGGGTGTATACATTAACACAACCTCCAAGAATGATTAACATCAAACTTCTCTTTACAGTATCAATACTAAATAAAAAATGAACCCTTTTGTCACTCTTACCTGAGAGTGACTATCATCTAATTTCTCCCTAAAATATCACCTATGAATCAAACTGTAAGGTCACGAGAGTAAAGTAAATAATCAACAGCTGAAGAAGTTCTTGATTGTAACTCAAATTCTCCTTGTCAGTTCCTTAGGAATTTGCAGAACAGTATGGAGAATATGCATACTGAATTTAGGGCGTAAATGGTTAGGGTCACTAGAATAAGGGAAATGACCAACAACTCAAACAAAACTATTGATTGATAGACAAATTTTTCTGTCAGTAGAGAGAGAAATGTACAGAGAACAGTATGGGGAATATCCACAGCTGAGGTTGGGTTATAGAGGGTTCAGAGTAGTCACTGGGTGCAAAAGATAAAAAAATTGTTCAAAGGGGGGTATGTTGTTAACAATTTCTGCACATCTTACATGATTTAGTTTTAGCACTGCTTGTCCTTGAATGTAAGCAGGTTCGTATTCATATGGCAAGGAGGAACAACAAATTGGGTTTCTAGATTTGAAAAAGATCTTAATATGTAATACAGCTTCTTCAGATTGACATGTCTTCACCACCCCGATTAAAATTTTTTTCTCCTCAAAGGGAGAATTATGGGAAGCCAATTCCTCCCCCCCCTTTCCAAGCTACACCCCTAAATGAACTTACTTCATTGGAGTAATGTTTTATGAGGATGAAATTGAAGAGTAAATTTTAGTTACATGCCTTTTTAAGAATAATCTTTAGCATAGCTGAAACAGGATTGGCTTTTACAGCAATTGCATGGAGAACATCTGTGAAAGAGACATTAAAAAAATTAATAACCTTTAGCTCATCCATGAAAGGAAAAAGCCACAGTTTAAATTTCTTACTACTATGAGTGACTTATTTCTTTGGACAATATCACCACAGTATCAAACATTAAGGTCAACAGAATAAAGGAAACGATTGCCAACTAAAGAAACTCTTGATAGTTCAGCAAATCCTCCACATCAGCACCACAGAGAAAGAATAGTAAGCACAAAGAGAAGAGTATGTAAAAGAAATCTACTGATGTTATTGTGTGAATAAATAATTAGTGAACAAACACCTTTGCGTGACTGGTAACGTCCACAGCTGACAGAAGAATAAATATTATGCTGAGAGGCAAAGCTTTGAGGGAAAATATGAAAAAAGAACTCCAAACAAGTGTCAATTAAGGTTTTCTCTGTCTCCCGCTTACATTTGATAACAAACCTCTGAAGATTTCTTAGTGAGTGAGTGACTCATTTGCATATTGAAGTCCCCAGAAAAAAACCCTGGGCAGACAACCCTGTTAATCGATGGCTTCTGATCGACATCTTTGGTCCACATCATGTGTCCATGGCAGATGATGAGCAATTGTCGGAAATCGAGCAGGCTTTTGAGGTGGTTAGAGGTGGGCAATTGCTCTGATTTTTGGCTTGGCTCTCATACGTTTATTGAATTTTAATGTGCCTGAAGAAATTTGGCAAAGTTGTAGTGACATAACTAAGCCCAGACTGCCACCGTCATTTTGGATGTCCACCTGGGTAGATTTTGGTCACGTGCTAAGCAACGTAATAATCAAGAACAAGATAGAATTTCATTTCAGGCCTATTTATCGATTTTGTGGTGCATAACTTTCGCATTTAGTACGTAATATTTATTTTGAATCTTCAAATTGTCGTGAAACTTGAGAGAGAATTGTTCTTTAAAAATTCACTGAAAATCGGTAGCCAAAATTATTTGTGTAAGTGTTTGATTTTCGTCTTAACCTGTAATTTCGTCAGTCTCTGGCGCTTTTTGTTGCTTCACACAGAAAAAAACACACGATACGAAATGTAATGATCGACTTTATCCCAATCTCACGCCACAACAGAAAAAGCTTTTGAACACCTGTAAACTCCGAGCGCTTCGGAGTAAGTGATATCTTTAACAAATCTTCGGATTGTTTTCAAAGTTCAAGGATTGTAAATTACAATTTTATGAAAAACGAAGGTTGTTCTCTTATTTCAGTGTGAATCCTCGCACGCCTGCCTTTCGCTGGCGCCGCTTGTTGAAACTTTTCACCCCATCACTATTCTTGGCAACAAAGGTCGCCATTTCGTTTTTTATTACTCGCCACAAACTATCAAAAGCTTAAAATCGAAAAAAAAGTTTACAGGAATCGACCAATCGAGCGAGCGAGCGAGTGCCATTCCACATTTTATTTATCTGACTGTCATTAAGCGGATTTTGGGGATGAAATGGTACGATTTGCGGAATTTATGAAATATTTTTCGGGATCAATTCCGTCTTGGCGACCCCAAGACCCCTAAACTAATGACATTCTACACAGGAAATCGATCGATGAGTTGTTTACCTTTACCAAAAGCTTCTTCTGCCCTGTCGAGTCCAGATTCGAATTCATCAAGATCGTAAAACAGACCTGCATGCTTGGGCTTTCCTGGTTCATAAGTAAGAGACGGAGAGCCTAAAATTCCCTGGGATATAGCTGCTGAAAGAGCTCTTTGAGATGTTTTACCCGACATTTTCCCCCGTAATATTCGGGAGTTTCTACATCACGGGCGACGAGCGGTGGAAGGGAAAAAGGGCGAAATACGAGTGGTCAGCGGAGAAACAACTTAAATAATTCACATAGAGACAGATCAGTTATAGTTGCAGAAAAACAGAAATCGTGTTGTATAATCGATGTGTCAACAGCTGTTAAAAGGCAATTTGCTCTGACAAAGGGCTAACGCCCGAAACGTCAGCTTTGAAACTCTTAACGCTGGCCGATCTCTGTTATCAACTCGGTCGATAATACCAAATTATCCTGTTATACTCTCCCACTGACGCAGCACCACAGTTTCCTAAGAAACTTACCCCCTTTTTAACTCGTGAATTGCGCGCATGCGCAAGAGCGAGTTATAGATACGATGTGGGGAATGGCATTCGCTCGCTCGCTCGATTGGTCGATTCCTGTAAACTTTTTTTAGATTTTAGGCTTTTGAGTGCATTTGATAGTTTTTGGCGAGCAATAAACAGACGAAATGGCGACCTTTGTTGCTAAGAATGGTGGTGGGGTGAAAAAGAAGCCAATGATAATCTTAAAAGAGTTTTTTTTTTCGTTTTAGTTTCAACTAGCGGCGCCAGCGACTGGCAGGCATGCAAGGATTCACACTGAAATAACAAAACAACCTTCGTTTTTCATAAAATTGTAATTTACAATCCTTGAACTTGAAAACAATCCGAAGATTCATTGAAAATATCACTTACTGCGAAGCGCTCGGAGTTTACAGATGTTCAAAAGCTTTTTCTGTTATAGCGTGAGATTGAGGACAAAATTGATCATTACGTTTCATCGCGTGTGTTTTTCCTGTGTGAAGCAACAAAAGATGCCGGCGACTGACGAAATAACAAGTTAACACGAAAATCAAATAACATCTAAACAAACAATTTTAGCTACCGATTTTCAGTGGATTTTTAAAGAACAATTTTCTTTTAAGTTTCAAGACAATTTGAAGATTCAACATACATACAACGTACTAAAATGCGAAAGTTACACACCACAAAATTGATAAATAGGCCTGAAATGAAATTCTATCTTGTTATTGATTATACGTTGCCTAGCACGTAACTTAAATCTACCCAGGCGGAGATCCAAAATGACGGTGGCAGGCTTGGCTTGGTTATATCACTCAAAACTCGTTCCCGTTTGTCTCATTTGATAAAGAGGGAATCGTTAATGTTTTCATTAAGACAGTATTGCCTTGATTTTCTAACAACGAAAGACAGTAAATTTCACTTTTCACCCACATTTACTTCCAACCTTTTCTTTTGAAACAAAAATGATAGACGTTTAAAACACATGACATCATCCACCTTGTCAAATGTAATAGCATGATCATTTCAATTGTAATGCCTTCTTATCCCAGCGTTACTTTGTTTCTTTGCTACATTAGCGAACTACTGCTCGTACTCTAGATATGGCAATCAACCACAAAATTCCCTAAACCAGATAACATTAAACATAATCTAAAAAATCATGTGTCAATTCACGAGTTTGCTCACAGAGCACTTTGATTTCACTCTTTAACATCCACATTATTTATGTCGACTATACAAAACATCATAAATATGTTTCTCGTAACGTTCTTATGTCCACACTTTGAAAGGATATTTCAGTTATTAATGGTGTAGGTAAGAATTTAAGTTTATCTGTGTCTGAGTGAAGTTCCCTCCCTTTCAGGGGGCCGACATGATCTACATTTTTTAGATTCTGGAGCAGTGGGATGAGGAAAAGCAGGATACAGCCTGTAGCGCTAAAAACGGACGCCGCAACAAAACTCCAAGGATATGAATTTGTAGAGTCGTATATCCAACCTGGGGAAAGAGCAAGACATTGATAAGTTAACAACACATACGAATGATGGTACAGTCGAGGTTTCAATGACCCACTAGAGGCTTATTACTGAAAGCCGAATGTAGTTTTTCCTTATATAACTTTTTGCGCATTGAGAAATCAAGCCTGCATCTTACATCTTCATTTACAATCCGTGTCTATTTTATCGATCTTTACTCATACTTAGAAAGATTTGTTGATATTTGACAGTAAAGCCGACAAGACTAGGGACGAGTGAACTCCATCTACCCCGACTACCTTGACTGGTTTCCTTCTGGTTCAAGTCAGTGGCGATAAATTGAATGGCTCTTATTTTCTCTTGCTTTCAGTTAATGGCCTTATGCTTTCAACGCCGATCTCAGAGACTTGCGAGGTTCTCATGTGACGAGATAAAAGAAGGAGTAGATGGCTCGGTTATCGATTGATGAAAGATCCCTTCCGGTAGATATTTGCTTTGGTAATTTGTAGTCTCCAAAGCACTTACCAGCCAATGGAATTCCTGCGCAATAAGCGATACCAAGCACCGCGAACATGATCCCAACACCCCTGGAGGCCTGGTCACTACCAACCAAGTCTTCAGCAACTACTGCTTTTAGTGATACAAAGCCACTATCGAAAGCCCCGTATATTACCATCATCCCCATGAAACTCTGGAAACTCCATGCTGCCGACAAAAGAGATGTGGATATGGCGACCCCGACCATAGCGCATTGAAAAATCTCCACACGGTAGCGTGAAAACTTGTCAGCAAGTTTACCAGTCAAAAAGGAGAAAACACCTGATGATGTTGACCAGGCCATAAGCAAAAGAGCCCCTTTGTGTGGTGGCACTCCCAACTCCTTGGCAAATGAGGGCTGAAAATGTAGGAAAAGAGTAGCTGATATTTTATTTGGCGTTTGACTATTACGAGCTAGTCAAGAGCGAACCTCTTTCCCAGGGTCTCTCTCTTTCCCTTCTTTTAGAGAAAGAGAGAGGAAGGGAAGGGATCGAAGAAGTGGGGCCCTGGGAACCAGGCTGGTCAAGAGCAGTCCAGATTTACTTTTACCTCAACCTCTTCTCTAACATTCAAAATTTTTTTCAGTTACAGTAAACAGAAAATTTGTTGTGACATCACAAGAAAACTGACTTATCAAATTACACGTCACAGACTTTTTCTTTTCTCACGGACCTTCCGGCTGGTGAATAACATATATGATAACTGATATATGATGACTTGATTGATGATACTAAGGTTGTCAAAATGTCATTCACCTCTCTCAAAATCAGTCATTCTCAAGAACACCCTGACCAACACAGTAAGACAACCGCGGCGATCAAATGTTAACCTCGGGTTCAAATTATTTACTGCATTACTGGCCAGATAGTCAGAGCGCTTTACGACTGAGTGTCAATCTCCAAAACAAAGGATTATTGAAATCATAACATTTAACCAGTGTGGTTGGTGAAGTAATGTAAAGAAATGCTATTCTGAATCACTTTCTAGACTCAACTGGAACTTGATCCAAAAGTGAAATGTTATAGAAAGCATAAACTCAAGAATTCTGTCAACTTGCCAATGCAGTTTTCAGTTACAGACAAGGCTCTACTCCCACTGTGCAGGGTTTGAGTGTAAAATTCACATCCTGTGTTTGTACATGTTTTTTTTACACCCTATCATCAGTTTGCATGTTCTCCATATATTCTTCCATACAGTTCCAAAGGTGCTAATTTGCTTCACAGTCTAGAGCTTCTTTAGTCAGTGATAATTTCCCTCATCTCGTGCCCTTAATGTTTAATTTAGGGTCGATATGATGTAAAAAATAACAGGGTTAAAGCACAAATATGAACCACATCCTCAAATGAACATTCCTTACTTACCACATACGAAGCAGGTATGAAACCGCCACTGGCGTATAATCCTAACCCTAGTAAAAACACTAGGAAAGATTTATCTTCTAATAGTGTTAGATCGAATATTTTCTTGACCTGGACGTCTCTCTTGCCCATACTGACTAGTTTGGGTGGGGGACGATACGCAAGGGCAGAGACTGCAGTGAGAGCAACGATTCCCGCCAAAATTATAAAGGTTCTGGAGAGTCCCGTTTGTTTCACCATCCGCTGAAGAAATGGCCCAAGGGCAATGGTACCAGAATATGCACCAGTACTACATATACCATTGGCCAGTGCTAATTTCCTACGGTCAAAGAGAAAATTTAAACTTTTTGTTTGACTGGTTCGAAGTGGTCCTTTTTGCTCTGTTGCTCTGTATCTAAATCATTCCCCCGCTAAACTTCTCTTATTTACCATCGAGCGTGACCCGCGCCTCCCTCGCGCTTGCCCAGCACTTGTCCCTCTTCGCCTGTAAAACGCAAAACAATTACCGCTGTTCTGTAGGCTACTGCAAATTTGGCTGCTCCTATTGTTTAATTTCTCAGTTTACTAAGGTAAGAAGCCACATCAGACTGGTTTCTGTAAACATGGTTACAAAAAAATCTTGAACCTATTCTTTAAAAATAGTGAGTGTTTGACACATGTAACACCTAAGCAGTGAAGTGCTTGACTTTTTCACTGATGTTTCCAGTTAACTGTCACCTTGTTACTTCGCCATCTTCTGGCTATGAAAAAAAATTTCGTATAAGTGTACCTTTTCATGACGCAGGCGAAGCACTCTATAGCATTTGAAGCACATTATAGGGGTTTGGCAATACCTCAAAGTGGGATTTTATTCTCCCAAATAATGTACAAAAGTAATTTTCGATTGAGTGGCGAAAGTGACCCGGGATGGCTTTGCTTTTGCTTTACTTCGTTTTGTGATTGGTCTAGAATACTCGCACCACTTTCTAAACCAATCAGAATCAAATTGACTAAAACCAATCACGACGTGGTCACTCGCGTTTTCCCGCGCGTCAGACAGTTTTCTTGTTTTTAATTTGATATTTCATTGACTAATCGTCATATTTTCTTTCCTATGATTGGCTTTTCAGATTGCTTTGGTCCTGGTTTTATGACAGTGAATGGAAAAGCGCTCTAAAAAATCACGGAGTATCACGGCAACGCCGCAATCTCAATGCCCCTCCCCCACCCCCCCTCTCCCAAACTTCACACAGCTCAATGATATCGTAATTTAAACAAAGGAGGCTTGAGCTAGACTCAATTTTCTGGCTCCCACAGCCCTTATATAACGGTAAAAAAAACGTTGATGAGCAAGAAATTATGCATCATTCACTGACGAAATCTAACCTGTCGAACCAGAGCGAGATGATCCTAAAAGTTGTAATGTACGCCAACGAAGCACCGATCCCGAACAACACTCCATATGTTACAAATAACAGGTAGAGCCGGGTGACGAACGACGATGCCACCAGACCAATCACGCAGACTAAACCACCAACAAATCCGGTGATACGGCAACCCCAGATGTCACAAGCGATGGTAACAAACGGAGCCACAGCGTACAGAGCGAACAGGTGAATGGAACCCACCCATGCTAGGAAGCAACAGCAATAAGCATGTCTTAGTTAAAGGGGGGGACTATGGAAAATTGACTGTAAAATAGAAGCTACTGTGTTCCTTTCTTTTATTCCAATATTTCGCCAATCTATGGCATTGTCAGGGAATTTAAAGAAAATATTCCACTGTGCCACCATGCGGCCGCAATTGCAAGCATGGGAAAAAATTGCGCCAGCGCAGTGTAAGTTCTCGTCTTACGTAAGCTGCGAACAAGCTGCGATGCCATCTATGCGAGTGGTTTAGCGTCTTATTTAAGCCGCAGCTAATTGAAAACGAGCTCAAACCCTAATCTTACATAAGCATTTGCTTCTAAAAGTGGAGGTGCACCATTATTTATCAAGTTCATGTCATCTGTAGGCCACAGATGAATTCCTCGTATAAACGGCCCGTGTACCTGACGTGCCCTTCCCATTGCCAAATTCATCCAGGATGTAAATAAGGAGGATTCCAAAGCTGTTCTGTATTCCAGCCAGGACGAATTGTACTGAAAAAGCTGCTGCACAGACACACCAGCCATATCCTCCATCTGGAGCTGACTTAACAGAAGACGTAATATCCATCCGAGGAATTCTGGGAACGTTTGAAGGTACACATTCAGAATAAGAATACGGTAGACATTCAAAAGCCAATTTTTTGGATTTTTTTAAAGTCAAATCAAGACTTACTGGTTGTAACTACGGTTTGACCGAAAAAGTTTTGTAAAACTATTATCACTATGCAAATTCTCCACACTTCTCTCTGTATCCTATGGCACTGAAAGGGAGAATTTGTTTAACAATCTAGAATTTCTCTAGTTAAGGATCATTTCCGTTTTTCCAGCTGATGTTCGGCATTCTTTTTTTACCCTCGCTGGCTTACTCTTACATTCCCTATAGGAAAAAGTAACCACAAAAAGTGGTTGCTTCTCTAGCCTGAAGAACAGTTGTAATTTTTTTTGCGTTTTTCAGTAAAACGGAGACAAGCGCGAGCCGCCTCCCCTCGCGCGTAACTCGCGCTTCGCGCTCGTGCGCTTGTCCGCCGTCCGCCTGTAAGACGCAGAAACTTACGCCGGTTCTGTGGGCTGTTGCTTATCTATGTTTCTAGCTTCATAACATAAAGGACAAAATTTCTGAATGCTGATTGGCTGAGACAGAAGGCATTTTTCGTTCATTTGGTAACTTCCTCAGACAAAATCACTTGAAATTGATTTGTTCTTAGGTCGTCTAACAATAGCGAAAAATTGTTTCGTTTTTTTAATGGCTTTTGAAACAATTACGTCTCATTTCGACGGAGAGAACGATGAATTTAATAAAGAACTGAGACAAATAGGCGAAAATGAAAACAAAAAGGCACAGAACACTGGAGAAATGTTTTCGTGCGACAGCCGGAAAAAAATTAGTGATATAATCTCTAACCATCCTGACCTCATGCTCGGTAAATAACGCATATGTTTGGACGACTACGACTCGGGAGACGAGCGGAAACAACAAATAAATTTAGGAATCAGTGACAAGTCAAAAAGTGCCTTGAGTCAGCTGTTACTGTCGAAAATTTGCTCACATTTGCTGCCTCATGTGCTTCAAGCCGCCATGTGTACAACTTCAGTCATTGCTACGCCATTTTGAATATTGCTGGAGATATTTCATCAAGTATCACAGGAGCTAAGAACCCACTTGACTCTGAATAATTTTTAAACGTTTAAAAAAACATCAAAAACGGCTCAAATTGTTCCTTCAAGTATTATAATTTCATCGATGGCGAATGTTTTATTTAGCAATCTTGGTTGCATTGCTTTGGTATTATTGTACAAGAATAAAACTCCGTACAGCTAATTCGTGAGTTTTACAGTTCATTGACGCTGACTGAACACTAAAATGACCTCAGTGATACGAAATTTCATAAATGACCCCTGTAATAAAAAACAATTTTGCCCTTTATGTTATAAAAAAGTAATCACATGTTGCCTCGTAAAAGTAAGGATTGTCGATGAATAGTTATTCGAATGCGTGACACGACACTTACCTTATTAGCATATTTCCATTTTCGCAAATTACAGATTTTCATTTCGTTTCGTTTCGCAAATTACAGTAAGCCTTATTTGTCCTAAACATTTGAAATATTTCTTCAGTTGTGGCGCTTCGTCGTATTATACGTGCTGCTCTACACTACAGACGCCGTAGGTATTGTGGATAGGTTAGAGCAGAAAGAAAACTCCAATGTGACTGAAAATATTTTGTCTTAAGCTTATTTATCACAGTTACCTAGACCAAAGTTTAGCTCACCTTCTGTTTCTCCTAAGCTCGCTTGGTAGGATACTGAGAAGGAAACCAGACTGTCTGAGGTAAGAATACTCACAATCAAAAAGGGTGTAAACAGCCAACTCGATTTTTCTCACGTCTCAACCACTTGAAACATTCGTCACTGACTGACCATAAGTTCACAAAATGAGGTCAAGGTGATCGCAGGCCTGAGGCAACCTAAGACGGATGACGAACAAGGACTTCCGAGAGGGAGGGTGGCATTGGTTTACACGTGATGCGTGATTAAGGCCAAAGTTACAGAAAAAAAACGAGTATGATTCGGCTCCATCTGTTATTGAAACAAGAAATAGTTGTATGCTATTCAACGAACGTAAATAAGTAAAGAATCTTTCTTCCCTTTCAAACCAGATGAAACTTCTGCATTTCGCAGTAGAGAGCTGTATTTGTGCGTGAAAGTCTTCACTTAGTCGATCACGTGAATTCCAAACTGATGTGTACTACGGTAACAAGCACGTTTGCTAAAATTGAGACTAAAAACCTCTACTACATGATAGTTGTGCTACTGAATAGAGTAACGGAGTGGCCAGCAACGGCACTATGCTCTTTAAGTAAGTGATTCAGTGACGTTTTGCAAACTTTCGTGGCAATCTCAAGTGAGACCGGAAACACCTCGGGGTTTACATATTTGTTCAATCGCAGACAGAGTTGAAGTAAATAGGAAAACTTACCGAAAAAACAGAACTCAGCGCTAGGAGTGAGAGCGAAATTATTCTTTTCTGTTTTTTTTCTTGTCTCTGTCTCTTTCTCTTTTTTTGTTTATCTTATTTAATTTTCGGGACGGTCTGAAATATGAGAATTTTCAATCTAAGTGTTTATGTCAAACGCACGGAAAGCTTGCTTTCTTGCGGACAGATAGAGACTTGAAAAAATCGGTTTCCGCTGTACTGTTACTCGGTCAAAGGTCATATTTTTGTTGGATTGCGAATTCAAGACGAGTTTATTGCCATGTGGTAATTATTAAGCATGGGGTGTCCGCTGACGAGAGAGAGCGTAAACAAAAGAAAACTCCAATTTTCACTTTTAAAAAGTTTCCGCGTCCGCTCAAGAGAGAGTGTCCGCTTACAGGAATGTGTAAATACCGAGTTTGACGGGGAGACAAAACAACAATCGAAAAAAGAGTCTGTTTGTAGAACTGTCCGCTTAAGAGAGTGGGAATTAGCAATAAATGTTTCCGTATATTAAAACAGATTTAACTTTTTCTTCAAAAAGAAACTTGATTTTCCGTGAATATAGATAAATTTCTTCCTTGTTACGCTCATCTTGTCCAACCGAATTAAGAATATATTTATAATAGCAAGAATGTTTTTTCTCCTTTATTCAGTATGTACGGTGGCCCACAACTGTCACGACAAAAGAAATAACCTCGCGGCAAACGAAAAAGACTCACGACAAAAGGAAGAACCTCAAGGCAAAAGTAAAATACTCACAGCTAAAGAAATGACCTTGTTATTTCTTTTGCCGTGAGGTTATTTCCTATGCCGTAAGGTTTTTCTTTTGCCGTGAGTCTTTTTCTTTCGCTGTGAGGTTTTTTCTTTTGCCGTGAGGTTTTTTCTTTCGCTGTGAGGTTTTTTCTTTTGCCGTGAGGTTTTTTCTTTTGCCGTGAGGTTTTTTCTTTTGCCGTGAGGTTTTTTCTTTTGCCGTGAGGTTTTTTCTTTCGCCGTGAGGTTTTTTCTTTCGCCGTGAGGTTTTTTCTTTTGCCGTGAGGTTTTTCTTTTTTGCCGTGAGGTTTTTCTTTTGCCGCGAGGTTTTTCTTTTGCCGCAAGGTTATTTCTTTTGCCGTGACAGTTGTGGATCACCGTAGAGTATGCAATATACCAGTGTATTTGTCTTCCAACGGGTAAACTATAAAGGAACTATATAAAGGCTTTGGTACATAATTGTTTATATTTTATTCCCATACAAACATATTTATTTCCACAAGGGATTTTTTTAATCCATTAAGTCAACAAATCGAGAATGTCCATCTTAAGCTATGGCAAAATGGCAGGACAGCGTGCATTTAATGTGGTCACGCCCGTGAAAAAAGACGAAAATAGTCTACATAAGTTCATAGCACTAAAGGATTTTTTTAATTCAGAATTTGATAATATTTTTTTTAATAAATGTGTATTCTTCGCTCATATTTCCTCGCTACAGTGAGGGCCTGGGGTTGTTGAGAAGTAGAAATGGCAGAGGAGTGTGAGACTACCACAAGGAATTCTGGGGTAGTGCGCGATTAGCCTGAAATAAGGCTGTCGTAAGACTTGACTAGGCTTAAGTCATCAGAAGTAATTAAAAATAAATTTCAGATTTGATTTACGTTTATGTTGGAAGCACTGGATCTTCATAATAAGCTGCATTGTTTCTTTTTCTAAGTACAGTGCATGGCTATAATCCGTATTCCCGGATATACCACAGGGCCAGTCCTTTGTATTCGCTCGACAGATTTCTTTTTCTATCATTAAAGTCCTGAATTGTTAAACTAGGGTCGACTCGTTTAGTCAGAACCTTATGTTCACTAGCCAGTCCTTGAGAGAAGAACTCTGGGAACGTTGCAAGAGCGACACTTAGGTCCTGAGCCGGAAGCTGATAAACAACGCTCTTTGTTGATAGAGCCTCGTTTACTGATCTTGAAATTGCAAGGTCTTGATAGTATTTTCCGTCAGAAGATGTTCCCAGATCTTTCTCCTTTCGTTCGAGGATTCGAAAGTTGTCATTCTGGTTTCTTCCTCTTAAGAACAATCTAGCAGCTTTAGATTCAGTCTCGCTTTGGTTTTCAGTTGAGTATGATGGACACTGACTTGAACGGCACATTTTTGGGATCAAGTTTCCTTTTCTTGTCAAGCAAGGCGGAACCTTCCCTCTTAGAATGGGACGGTAACTTATTTTCTTCGTCATCAAAGTAGATCAGCGCTTATTCTCCTCTGAACAAAGTGTACGGTTTAAGATTTTTAAACTTTTCACAAGCTTTAATACTCTTCACCAAAGTGTTATTACTGTCCCACAATTGGTCAGGTGAAGTGGCGCGTGTTGACAATATCTTATTAAGAATTCTGTCCGATCACGTTCGCTCTGCAACGATTGAATTTCTAATTGTGTTTTCTTTGATTGCTTTTGTTTGTAACCGATGCAGCTGGTGACATATTGTAAATCAAATTGCAAAACCCTGACAGAGCTGTGTGTAATTCACTTTGCTGATATTACAGTTTGTTTAGATTAGGAGCGCTTCTTTTTATTTCAATGCTTTTTAGTGTGCCTACACAAAGTACTAACCAACTAACCAACTAACCTCCTTTTACTTGAGTTACCGTCGTGTCAGATCCATGTAAAATTGTGGTCAGATGTTTGCTAATAAAAGGCTTCTTTGGTTGTCACATTGGTAGGTGGCAGTGGATAGTTAGTTTAATCAATTTAGTTCCTCTTAAGCACATTTTCGGCTCTCATCAATACGGACTTGTTACCATTTCACAAACTGAAGGAGCGAAAAATATATGTTCGCAAATATTGCTTGCTTAGTTTTCAGTAATGTTCTGCATGCCGTGTCAGCAAACAATAATAAGATACTAAAAGCATATGGAAGAACAGTAAAAATACATTAAGCTCTAGTCAATAATTTCACTTAACATTTTGCCGCGGCTACAGATCTGACGGATGTAGATGTCGCCTTCACGAATCTCTCGCCAAGACTGATCACGTTCACTTTCAAATACATCTGCTCAGAACCCAAACCGCGAAAACTGATTCCGTCTACGACTGATTTGATAACTTGCGGCTTCTCCTTGAGCTAAATTTAGTTTCTGCTATTTCTTGGTCATGTACCACGAATTAAAAGTTGGTATCATGCGGCACAAAGGGTTGTAAACTTATGGTGGCTGACGAAATTTGCGCGTGTCATCTACCCTCTGTCTTGTATGCTTTCTTTACCAATCTTTTGTTATCAAACCGGGCGCTAATTACATTTCCTTGGTGTGCGGAACTTGATAAGTGTCCTGTACCTTATTCTAAATCTTATTCTCATATTGCTGTATCATTTATTCCTATCAAGGCAGGTTAAACCAGAGCAAAAGAGATACCGAAAGCTTAGTTCTAACACTCAGCAGAGAAATGCAACCAAAAGTGCTAAATGATTCCAATTACTTGAAAAACTAATTTAAGCGGAGAGCAAATTTTGTACTACGAGCGAATTTAATTGGTTTAAGCTATCAGTGTAAGTAATACGGCTACCAGCAAGGTGCAAATGAAAATAGCTTTAAATATTGAGAGTGGGAAAGTCCAAATATCACGTAGTGCTCGCTATGAAACGTGAGAGCCTTCATCATATTAATAGTTCGCGTGTATCGATACACGCGGAAAACTCGAATTTATTTTATGAGCCTAGGGTTATGTGTCAATTATAAAATCTAATCGTATTTGTTGAGCACAGTATTCCTTTTTTGCGAAATCAAAGCTACAAGCCCAAGGTTCGTAATTGAATCTTTCAATGTCCCTTTTTTGAAGCTATTTATGCAATAAACAAAATTTTAGGCTGCCACTGTTTGGTGGTTAATATCTAAATGTTCCCGATACAACCGTCTGCATGATCAGTAGCCTTGAGAATAACATGTATAGCTTTATTTTCACCATCTTTCTACTACATATCGGATCATTATTAATATTGAAATGAGGAACTAAGCTTAACCTCTTTCATCCAATATCATAAATAAGTAAATTGTTCATAACGTTCCCCACGCATTTCCTATGCTTCAAACAAGAAGAATTTGTGTAATGGTCAAAAGCTTCCTAAGTTGGCGATCATTTCCTTAATTCTCGTGACCTTAATGTTTGACTTGGCTATGATATCGTGAGGAGAAATTAAATGCTCGTCACATTAATTTCAATGTAGAGGAATCGGAAATGAATGAGCAGTAGGGATTGAAAGGATGAAAAAGGTGTTTTAGTTCTTGCTTGGATGAGTTTTCAGAAGATGTGTCATGAACCTCCTACTTAAGACTGAATAGACCTGGGTCTTGACACTCATGTCCTTCTCAGCTTCTTTGGGTTTTTCCGATCCGAGCTCGTCTTTATTTTAGTGCTCGAGAAAATGATCTTGTCTTCACGATTCTGAACAACGAACAAAAACATTGAAAGTA